CCGCTAACAGTACCATGGTGCTAACAAGACCACACCGCTAACAGTACCATTGTGCTAACAAGACCACACTGCTAACAGTGTAGATGAACATATACTGTCATATATTCATAAATTAAACGGATTCATTCATTTTTCTGGACTGAATAATATCGTGCATTGAATTTAATAAAATGTAACGTGAGGCGTTAATTTTCTTTGACCCATCAAATGAATGTGGTCATTTATTAACAGAATCAAAGTTTAACATCAAACATTTACATTAATTTGGCAAATTGATTTCAACAACAACATAATTAATCAGCTTTACAAACAGGAAAACCATCCGGCCATGATTTTCCTTTGCTTTACAACAGACATTTCTGAAAATATCTGGAATGATTTCTGGCAGATAGAAGAGTTTTAAAGATGGGAAAATGAAGTTTAGAGGGAGGGAGATGGTGTGTGAGGGAAAGTGTTGAACAGAACGGCACCCTCCATTCAATCCCAGCTTCCTCCTCGGTACACTTAGGTTATGTAAATCGACTCTTTACCTGGAGGAGATGTCTCCACTGGAACGGAGTTCCATTTAACGCACCCTTTCAGCGTCTCCGTAGGAACAGCTGTGAATCGTCCGAAGTAGTGACGGTACTTGTTGACACAAGTTCACCTCTCGGTTGGGCTCACATGAGTTGTGAGTCCGTCAGAGTTCCACTCAGATGTGGAAGATTGCATAATTCCCACGAGACTCGGAAGAACTCCGGATCATGTCTGGACTCCTGTTCTTCCCAGCACTTCTTGTGTTCGGTTTGCTCTCTGAACCGAACTCGACCGGGCTCGACTGCTCTCGACTGAACGAACTGCAACCCGACTCTGGTTTGAACTAGGAAGTGCTGACATTTAAAGAGTTCTATTTCCGGTTCATTTGGGAAGTTTCTGATTGGCTGAAATAGCTAATCAGGGGTGTGTTTTTGTGACGTAAGAGGTCACTAGAAGTCAGCAAAACAGAAAGAATGTTTTGGTACAGACTGAAGATGTTTTAGAGACAGACGAGAGAAACGTTTAGACGAGTTGGGGGAAAACAGGTGCCAGCTTCTCTGTTTACGTCTGAGAGGATATAAAAACATGACAGTTCGTTCCAACAACTTGTCTTCGACCTTTGACCGACATCACAACTTGCTCATTTCAGATAGAAGATCAGAAAATGCATGAATTACTCCGTAACACATTCCAATTTGATTTCCACTTTGAATGAGGATTAAAAATCCCTAATACTGTTTCACAGTTGATTAAAAATGATTAGTTCACTTCAACATTTAAAATGGTCTGAACTAAACACACTTTGATTATCAAACACTTGTAAAATAGTAATGATAATAAAAAAGAGAGTGTTCTTTCAATTGATCAGTGCAGGACACAGAAAGTCTCTGGATGAACTTAATCTTGTGTTTCTGGACACAAATCAATGAAATACAGTTCTTGTCCCAGGAAGGCCAGATTTGACCTGAGGCTTAGTTTACTACAACAGTACCATGGTGCTAACAAGACAACACCGCTAACAGTACCATGGTGCTAACAAGACCACACTGCTAACAG